TATACAATAAATCAAAAAAAATTAGCCGGGCGTGGTAGCGTGCGCCTGTAGTTCCAGTTACTTGGAAGGCTGAGGCGGAAGGATCGCCGGGGCCCAGCAGGTCGAGACTGCGGTGGCCGGGAGCGGCCACTGCACTCCAGTCTGGGCAACAGTGAGACTCCAACTAAAAAAAAAAACCAAAAAAACAAAAACAAAAAGAAAGAGTAAATACATGGCTGGGCGCAATGGCTCATGCATGTAATCACAGTACTTTGGGAGGTGGAGGCAAGAGGATTGCCTGAGCTCAGAGGTTCGAGACCAACCTGGGCAACACAGAGAGACCTCTTCTCTGCAATAATTCAAAAAATTAGTTGGGTGTGGTGGTGCACACCTGTAGTTCCAGCTACTTGGAAGGCTGAGGCGGAAGGATCACCAGAGCCCAGAAGGTGGAGATGCAGTGGCTATGAACATGCCTCTGCACTCTAGCCTGGGCAACAGAGTGAGACTCTGACTCAGAAAAAACATAAAAAGAGTAAATACTCTTTTCTGCCTTACTGGAGTTAAACTTTTTCCCCCTGTGTGCCTGATGTACCCCCTTGACTGGCAAATGTCTGCACAGCTGGCCTTTTTACCTTCCTTTGTAGCCAGCAGCCCCTCGTCATGGCCTTGCAGATGCTACATGCTCAATAAACCGTCAATGAAGGAATGATAAGCTGACTCCCACCTTTGCCCGGCCTTTGCGTGCTCAGCAATACCACATTGCAGAGATGACGTCTGGTTCAATTCCCCAAATTCTTCACAGAGCAGATACGCCCTCATATGGGAAAGCATCCCTCTGACCTTGGATCCATTTCAAGCCCAGGTGTTGAACATTTGATTGTATCCCTGACCCTGACCTGCTGTGGATTTTAGATTAGATTTCCAGGGGATTCACATCTGGGCCCGTTAGGCAGTCTTGGCCAGATGTTCTTGTCTTAACCCTCCCTCCTCCTGGAGTGACCAGAGAATCAAACAAGTTCAATGCTTAGTGCCCTGCAGCCCAAGGAAAAGCCCAGAGTAGGGAAGGAGTAGAAAGATCACAGTTTGGGCAGAAAGGTCTCATAGCAGGTCCCTGTAGCTGTCCCTGACATATTCTACAAGAGAGGTTCAATCCATGGGAGGAACCAAGGATTCGATGCATCAATGCCAGGGCCTTGGGACAACATTTAAGAGGAGTCACACTCAGCCAGTGTGATGGCTAATGCCTGTGATCCCAACATTTTGGGAGGTGGAGGCGAGAGGATTGCTTGAGCCCATGGGTTCGAGACCAGCCTGGGCAACGTGGTGAGACCTCGTCTCTACAGCAAATCAAAAACTAGCTGGGTATGATGTATATGTCTGTAGTACCAGCTATTTGGAAGACTGAGGTGGAAGAATTGCCTGAGCCCAGCAGATCGACGCTGTGGTGGCTATGAGCGTGTCACTGCACTCAAGCCTGAGTGGCAGACTCAGGAAAAAAAAAAGAAAGAGAAAGAAAGAATGCTGATTCCCGCAGCAACATGCAATTAATGTCCATAGAAGTGATGATTTTTTTCCCAATAGGAGTCTCACACTGTCTCCCAGCCTGGTGTGCAGTGGCACAATCATGGCTCAGTGCCGCCTCGACCTCCCAGAACATCCTCCCACCCCAGCCTCCTGAGAAGCTGGGACTACAGGCACGTGTGGTATTTTTTGCAGAGACAAGATCTTACTATGTTATCCAGGCTACTCACAGACAGCTGCCACAAGTGATCCTCCCGCCTCAGCCTCCCAAAGTGCTGGAATTATAGGATGAGCCACCACACCTGGCCTGATTTTCTGTAAGGAGGAAACTGCTTAATGCCGCATCAAGATAATCAGGTTACAACTGAGACAGGTGGTGCCTGCCAGGACTCATGTCTGAGAGGGCAGTGCTGGGCACAGCGTTCTCCTAGGATTGCCTCCTCAGGTTTTGCCTGCCTGTCCAATGCGTCAGCCTGGCATGGTCGAGAAAGCACTCGAGTGGACGTCAGGAGAGCTGGGGTCCGGCCCCTCTGTGGCTCATCACCTCTCTGGAACCTCGGGACATTCACTCAGCCCCTCGGGCTCATTTCTGCGCAATCGAGGAGCTCTCCCTGCTAGCCCAGCAGCCCCAGTCTCTCTGTCCTCACAGTTGGGCTTCAGGGGGCCTCACCCTCCTGCCATAGGCGCTGGGATGCCCAGTGTCGCTCTGGGCAGGAGGGCCTTGGCCCATCAAAGACCTTGCCATCAGGAAGCAGGCCACCTGGAGGACCCCAGACTCTGTCCTCACCCCCACCCTGCCCGGGGAGAGTGTGTCATAAGTGATCCCTCCTGGGGACATCGCTACTTTAGGAGCATGCGGAGGGGAGCAGTTCGGGCGAGAGCCCTGGGGGGAGTGAACTTTGCAGTTGGAGAGCAGCCCCTGGTCCAGGGAGGGTCCTGGGGGAGCCACAGCCATGTTCAGTCTCGGGGCCAGTACCCAGGTGTGGTGGCGTGGCTGCTCCATCTTGGTCACAGGTGTGGCCCCAGGACATCGCCGCAGAGAGCGGCCCTGCGGGTGGTGGCTGTGGGCGCCGGGGCCGCCTTGGCACCCATGTTCCCAGCCGACTGGGTGGTCCGCTTTCTCGGCGGGATGGCACTCACCGGGCCTCACCACCAGCCTCTACCTCATGCCCCAGGGCAGAAGCAACTCCAGCTCACATCTCACATGTATTTATAGAATAATGCCCAGCACACCTGAAGACTTAAAGAAATGTTAGGGCTCTCTCTCTCTCTCTCTCTCTCTCTCTCTCTCTCT